TCACTAAGCATCGACACTACAGAGCCCTATTGTCACGGTGAGGGGACGCAGCCGCCTCGCGAAGAAAACCGGTGACACTTTCTTCGGATAATATTTTAGCAATATGGACGAGGAAACTAAAAAGCAATTGCTGAAGCCAAGCAAAATCCTTTCTCTGCATGTGGAAAGTTTAGATGCAGTCCTGTCTGGTGTATTTGCGGTCACAAACAGTTATCACATATGCACTAATGGTTGGATAATATATAGGATAATATGCGGGCACAAAGTAATATTTCAACAACGGAAATGATTAACTTCGAGGCCTCTTTTTTTAAACAAAGCCAAAAATCTCATCCCGATTGAAACGTTGGTCTCAATGACTGCTCCGTTGATAACAACGTCTCGTTAGTTGTGAAGTGGTGCGATGCGGAGAATATGCGAGATATGGCGGAACACACGATAAATATTCTTCAAGGCTTAGTATTAGGCGTTCTGAACATATAAAAACAATTAAATAAACGTTACAAAGTGCGAACAACAAGAGTATGTATGGAATATTAATAGAATAAAACGCATTAATACTGTTCTACGTCTACCCTACCCCCACGTACATATACACTACTTTATGTCCCCAACGCCCGAGTCCCAAAGTCGTTACCTGGTTGAGTAGTTAACGCTAAGAGTGCCTCTCGGCACCTAACGTCATCCTCCAGGACCTTCTGCCGTTCCTCCAGATGAATCTTCTCCTTCTCCCATCTCGTTGTTGTGATGCAGTTTCTTCCTCATTCCACAACTTATTTTCCAAGTCTGGTAAGCCGCTGTCCATATCTCTCCTTCCATGCCTGCAACGCCCTTCCGCCTTCGCCAACTCTTGGTCGATTCTTGCAACGTTCGCCATTTTTTTTTTCGTTAAGGAAGAGGTTCTGCGTGATGTGATCTATACTAACGCGTAATCACACCGGAAAGTATTTACTGATCTTTTTCGTAGCTAGTGCATTCTCCGACGTGACGGATTCTTCTTTTCTTTTGTAGGCAGAAGACATAAGTATTAAGTTTACGGTGTATTAACTAATAGGCGAGGAAAAGGACAAAAGCGAGCACTATCCGACGAGCCGTTAGAAATAAAATTCCTAGAGCCGATGTACGAATAGCGTATACTTTCGCGAAGAAAAAAAGAAGCGTGGGAATTGAAGGGAATAATCGTTATTCATCGCATGCTGGCATGATAAAGTGAACATAAATTTAACAAGTCCATAATAATAAGTTATGAATGAACACCATTTTTACTTTTCCACTGGTCACCACATCATAATCAGCCTCTCATATAAAATGCTCACTTTGTCCGTTTTGTTGCCATATTAGTGTTCTTCTCAGCCACACTTCTTCCTATTGCTATTACTGAATTCTATTTCTATTACCGTTACTATTCACTATTACCTAATCAGTAGACATTACACAAATTAAGCAATATTCAATATATCAAGTCAGTTTATTATTTATTTGTAGGTTTTACAGGAAAAAAAGGAATAAATAATGCAAGCCAAACATATAACCAATCCATATTCCAAGAAATCTCTTCATTCATGAAGCTTTTCATCAGACTTGTATGGCCCAAAATCTTCAATGGCATTTTTAAATTTTTTGATATACTCATCAGAAGGTTTAAGTCTCTCATCATATGCAACTCTCAAAACCTTAAGTGTGCCACTTAGATAATTAAGAATAGCATCACAATAACTATCAATAAACTTGAACTCATTTGAAATAATCAACTTGGTGAGAGGAGGTGTAGATTTGGATAGAAGATTTTCTAATGAAGCAGCCTTAAAGACAACTACTTTGTGTAATTCTAACTGAGTTAAACGGGGAAGTTTATAATCAGCCAAATTATTAAAATAAACATCAACTGTATCATCAGCTAGTTTGTCCTCATTATTCAATGCAAGAGAATTCAATTTAGGTAAAGCAGAGACCAAATGAGCAATTGATGGTGCATTTTCTTTAGATGATATACGTATAGATAGATGTTTAAGATTTTGACAAACTCTCAAAATCAATTTGCACATTCCTTCATGAAGAGTTGTTTTTCCCAAGCTCAATGTATGTAATGTAGATCCATAATTTTTAATAATACCTTTGAGAATCTCATCTGGAACAGTAGCATGTTCAAAAATGAGGTGTTCCAAACTTGGAAAGCCCACTTTTACAATTGATCCAAAATTCTCCACTGTTAGATCACCAAACGTTTTCACCTTTATAGTCTTTAAATGAGGAAAGACCAATGACTCAGAATCAAGACTGTCAGAATCAAGTGACACAAAATTCAATGTGATTGATTGCAGAGAATGCATACAGGCGTTTAGTAGGTGCAATATTGAAGACAATCTGGATTTGATGCACTCGACTGTGAAAGCCTTGAGCTGATGCTGTGCTTGTATCAGTTTGCATACATTGTCTAGGGACCCTTGTCTAACATCAAACCTTTTTGTATGGCAATTAATTAAGATTGACTCTAGATTGCATGCCACTGTTGCAATTGAATCAAAGACATCTTTGTAGGTTCTTTCAGAAACCCAAACAAGGCTTCTTAGCTGTTGTAGTTCTTGTGTGGAAGCAAAACATTTCTTTAATTGTGTGCATATCTGTGGCTTTTTTGGTGTGAGACATAGTGACTGGAGTTGTTGACAATATCTAATAGCCAGAATCATAATTTTTACAGTTATACTTTCCATTAAATAAATATTCGATTCTCTGGCCTTAATGTCTAAAGAAGAGGATACATCTAATGCACGCCAGTCCCTAACGTTGGCTGAAACATCATCAAAATTGATTTCCTTTACGTAAATACTGTAGTCAAACAGAGGTCTCTTGCTACGTCTCTTATCAAGTGGATCATCGTTATCCAGAACACAGCTGGTCTCGGTAAAGCATTCAATGAACACAGTCAGAAGTTTTTCGGCTCGTCTACAGTTCTCTTTGTCATTGTTATATGATCTGTCTTTATGCAGCAACGCAAATGGACTAGCCCAAAGGTATTGGATAGCCGCTCCATACCAATTCTTATTAAGTTGAATACAAGAGTATAATGTTGCTTTGTCACAGGCACAGTCATCCAAAATCATTGTAAGAAGCTCAAGCGGCAAAGAGACAGTCATTTTGAAAAGGTGAAAGAATTAGGTTGTTGCGTTTGTCGGCGGTTGAACGATAAGGTCATGTTATGCTTATTGGTGGCAAACCTAAATTTATGTTACACATTCTGGAATATCGGACTTATTCCTCCGGCGACGCCATTAGATACCAACAGGCTTTTCGCTAATTTCGGAAATGTATCTATCGGATAGTTATTACAAGAAGAGCAGCTGAGAGCTTTCTATCGTTGCGAAAATTCATGCTGTAAGTATGGGACGGAAGCTATTCAAATGCAAGCTTGAGTAACGTCGTATGGTTCAACTTTATCTGGCAAAGTCAAAGATTTACATACAACACATTGGCCGATAAATTTACTGAGTATCCAACTCTCCATTGAATAATGTGAATGTTACTAGATCAGAAATACAATGACCATTCGTTAACGAGATTGCATGTCTAGTGAATGTCTATTAGATTAAAGTCTTGACTGTGAAATATAGAGATAGATTGTAGCGGGTATGTGCGGAGCTATGAAATCGCCACCATTATTCTGGGAATAATCAATTTGCTCAAGGTAGATTCTTATATACTATCGATTTCCATTTGACAAAATGACCTTTATCTGTAATTAATTACAACGTGAAATAGCTATATCAACGCATATCGAGTATAGCATTGATATGTCGTATACGAATAAATGAGCAACAATTGAAGAATTCATAACATGAGTTTTAGTGCAAATATGTTGAGTCATGTACTTACGTTTGACTCCGTACTCGTAATCTATGCGGTGTTTACCCTCGTCCGCTCACGCATTGAGAGTAAGATGCCCCGCTATCTATTATGAAATATGGTGATCTCTTTGAGGACCAAATAACACAATGCGTACAATCAAAATGGCCAGTTGTAAACATTCTCTTACAGCACGGAATTTCGAATGGGCATAACAATTCTTCTCCAAGATACATGTGCCGGAGGTCTCTATTTCTCATTGTTCTATTATTTTAATAGATGGAACATTAGAACAGAGGTTCGACTCGAATTAATGCGTAAAGAACGTGGCTTTCTTATGTTACCTATAGAGATCAGCATCTATTCATCATCGCGTACACTGTACTATGGTAGGTTGTTCCGGCTCAATCTACGAGTGGACGTTTGTTAAAATCTCATCTATCAATAGACAACATGCTTACAATCTGCAACAAATTATAGGTTAATAATATTAACCATGTGTTGAATCTCTACCGGAAACCCTGAAGTCACAATACAATTTCGAGACCTAATAAATACAACGCGATAAAAAAACCCAGTATTAATCGAAATACTAATCCACTCTTGTACTTTCAAATGTTATGATTTGGCCACAAGATCTTGACTACTTAATATAATCCTTATTAATTCATAGATTACTTACTAAGTGAATCAAATCGTTTGTAAAGTCCTATTCGAGCTTCTTAATATAGTCTAGAATATGCTTCGCAGATTATCGCTCCCAAGGACTCTCTTTTGACAAGAAAATGTCTCAGGTTCTATAACATAATAGATCGCATTGGTTATCATACAGAATCATGCACAAACGTTCGCGATAATCCAATTCCTAGGTGTCATTTCTGATATGTTAGCAGCCAAATGCATGCGAATAAGTAATCCCTTCAAGTTCTCATAATGAATTTGAGTAAAACAACTTAAATTACACTCTTACCGCGGTTTTGCGTCGTTTTCTGCTCGCCCAAATTCAATACTCACAAATTTTGGTAGCAATATCGCCGATAAAATATGCAAGTTAGCAATTGTTACCACGATGTGCCAGTCAACAAAAAGATTTTGCTTGGCCAAAGGATCTTTAAATTCGCTGGAATCGAACGTTTCGGGACCCCATCTTATATGGTCATTTCAGAAGATAGCGTTGGATTGGGAATATTATTATGAGTAGAGTATAAGACCTTTCAATAATAACCAAGATCACAATCGTATCACGTGATCATTAATATCTCATTGCCGTATTCGTTGCCATTCGAGACTATTCTCATCGCCGATGGATAGCTGGCCTTGTTGATATCATCTTGCAAACCCGTCTTAAATCAGTTTAATGACTAACTTACATCATTTCATATCCATCAGTGCAGTTTCGTCATCTGCGCCTCATTATTACGATTCCAATTTCATAACACGCAATACATTCGTTGACGAATCCCCACCGGGCACGACCTGTTAGTAATGCTTGCTCTTTCTTCACGGAAGGATCATCGTCGGATTAACATCCATCTAGTTCAATGATTCTCTTCAAGTCCCAAACACACAGAATCTTATACGCCTTGCCATCATATCATCGAAGTAGGCATCTGTCAATGCAACAACATTAGGTCTGACCAGATCGTCTACTGCCAATGCGAGTTGGAGATAAATATTCTGATGAAAGAAAATTAGCCAATTCTTTCCGCATCGAGGCAAACAGATCAGGTGAAGTCATTTAATACAGATCGCCTTTCCGGTTTCTCCTTGGAAAGTTGCCCATCTTGACTGTTTCCTTTTTTCATATTACCACATATTGGCAATGTGCGCGAGATAGCTACAGTATCCACTAGCAAAGTACGAAGTACGAGTACGATGTCAACTGATTGATTGCGCTGCTTTGTAAAGACCTGGGAATGAATTTCAGTTTTACAAAATCCTCTGGTATCTTCGCGGGGCAAGTGCAATTTGATGTTAAGAGATACGTGACCGTTGGATCAGTTGCTTATGGAACTGGTAAGTGGTCGATAAGTTTTGAACAGCAAAACGTAGAAGGATAATCGCGGACAGGTCGAAAGTGATTTCAGTTAATCCTTTGTTAATTGCTATCTGTTGCGTTAAAGATAATTACCTCCTTCCCCATGGCATGTAATCCAGAATGTGATGAATATAAACCATAATAATAACAGGCCTATCTCTATATAAAAACATATAACATGAAACTAATTCATCATGGAACCAAAGAATTATAGCACTATTAAAAGCATTCTAAAAAAGCTCAAGGAGAAAAATTGCTCCATATTAATATGTTAAATCAATGATATCAATTATCTTTTAGAGAATAATTTTTTTTCTAGAACAATAAGTTTGTATTGGATTATGGTCTATGTTTCGTAGTTTGTTCTATTTCCCGAGTATAACACTCACGCAATAATTGTTGGTTTGTTGCGAAAATGGTCAACAATAATGAACACTGCAGTTTACATACACTAAGATAGCTTTATTCAAAGAAAATGCTTTGCAAAGAACATTAATTAAATGTTTTAATTAACGTAAATGTGATATATTTTATAGAAAAAAGATATTCCGCATATTCAATAATAGACATATTAACTGACAAACAAAGTTCCATGTTTGTCATAGTAAAGAGATATTACCGGCCCAATAAATCATAAGTCAACAACTTCTGGATTTTAAAGACAACAATAATATTTGAGAATGTCGCCAATCCTGATTCAAAACGGCACAAATTGACACTTACCAGCGTCGATGATTATAAAAGTAATTCCTGAAAATAGTTACATTTATCTCCTGGTTGGTCTTGCAAAAACGAATGGAACGCGGTTACGATAGCTTGATTAAAGCGACAAAAATAGAAACTATTACATGGCCTCTTACCGGTTGGAACTTTACGCTTATATAGTATATTACCATTACTATATGTAAATCTGCAAAGATGTAAATTTTAGCAAGTGATATCTACTTCTGTTATACTTAAACGTTAACAACAAATGCTGCGTAATGTTGATATTTGTTTTACATACAATCTTGTCCATTTTTACGTACATAGTTTTTTTTTAAAAATCACAAATTGGGCTGTTACCGAAAAGAAACCTTTCATAATATTACACCTTTAACTAATGAATACCAGGATTGATATGTCGTTTAAAAAACGTTGCCATGCTTATCACATTGATGGAACGTTAGTGTTAGAAGATTGCGAATGAAAATGATGACAAACGTTTAAAAATAAATGGTTTACAAGCAATAAATGTATTATTTATCTTGGAATTTGTTACACTCGAGGTCATTTTAAATCGCCAGCTGACAACAACCACGGAGAGCTAAATAGTAATTATTTACTGAAATCAATAACAATAACAAACGAGTATTTGCCTTTGAGACTTTTGAAAGTAATTATATTTACTTTTTCTTTAGCAGAGTATGAACAAGAAACAGATTATAGGAACAAATACCGATGTTAATGTTAGTGAGGCACTAAAAAAAACTTGACGTAATTTCTGTCCGATTATTGCTGACACGGAAATTTTGGATTAACGTTAACTAATTCTACAGTCCACTTCTTTATTCTCCACAGTAGATAAATAATAATTTCCCTGGCCTCCTCTTTTTTGTTTTACCTTTGATTATTCATGTCAATTAGGCTAAATTAACTCTCACAATATAAATAGCTTATAAGAAAGTCGTAACATAAACACATGAAAAATTCAAAATTGGCAAACATTAAAGTGAAACAACTTCTGTCGCTACGTTAACGTTTGCGTTTCGTTCCATAATATTTGTTAGTAAATTGACCGATACTTATGTAACAACATGTATGCACAAAAGTAGAAGTCAAATACGACTTTCATATGTATCGCTATTATCAAACTAAATGATTAGTACAAAAAGATCCGAAAAAATGCTTTTGACTTGTACTTTAACGACTTCGCGACTGGCCAGTCTTATAGTATGATTCGGTCGACGTTTCGTAATTTATTAAAAACAAAGAAACGAAAAAAACCAAAAATGAAAAAATGTAATTGTATCATCTAAGTTGTTGAATATTTTTGCTTGAACGTATTATTTCACCTGTGATTGTTTATGATGCTGCAACAGCTCGAGATATCAAACAACAACAGCCTCTTCTAACAGAGAATGCTTACTAGTTCTTTGGCTCTTCATGACAGCTTTATTTATTATTATTATTAGTATTAGTACGTAGATCAAGTGATAACCATTTTTACCTTATCATGCACAATCTTTGAAACAGTTGCCTCGGAAATATCGCTGTTGTAACCTGGGTGACGCCTTGGTCTTTTAAACGACATATTTCAGCTTTCTGGACACCAGAAAAACTTCTCCCTGAACCACCTTTTTCTTTTTAAGGTCTCTGTTGCAATTTCATGCTGTTAAAATTCTCACTCTTAAAATTCTCTCTCACTTTATAATGCTTTTATTCAACACGTGTTTGTATTATGATTGGTCAAAATATATCAAGTAGTACAATCTTCATTACATCGAGAGGCAATCTACTAATACTAATATCGTTTGAGAAAAACCACACTACTTCAGCACTTCGAAGAGTTTTACACAAGTGAGACAGGTCAATAGCAGCAAAAACATGGCCTTAAGCCAGTCTGATAAAGAATGGTTAACAAAAAGTATTGAAGATGGAAACATTCGCTTTTATCCTTTCGATAACTTTACTGACCACTTGTGCATCGGTGGCGGAGCATATGGAATAGTTTTCAAAGCCAGAATGAAGTCACTCGGTAGAACGGTGGCATACAAACTTTTGAATTCACAGAATGAAGATGATATGATCGAAAACTTTGTCAAAGAGGTTGGTAATATAATAACGGCCTTATGTTTGGATTTATTGCTTTACTTACACCATCAAACGATACTGTTAGCTCAAGATTCATCGTAAAGTTGATGATCATCCCAACATAATTCGATTCTTTGGAATCAGTAAAGGTAAGCATTGAGGTGTCGTTAACGGGGACACATATTATTATAGATATTAACACAAAGACTTAATGGCTAGATACGATTAATAGATATGTAATGGTCTTCAAATACGCCGACGGTGGTTCATTACGATCTCACTTATCGGACCCGTCTGTTGAACTGGATTGGCCTACGAGATGCAAGCTTGGTATCAATATTGTTAATGGTCTGATGCATCTTCACGGGCGCGGTATTATACATAAGGATTTGGTAATTATAGATGTTTAGAAACAATGTTGTATGTTCAGAATCTTCTATAATAATTGACAATTTTATTATTGTTTAGTCTTCACATAATGTATTGATTCATGCCGGCGTGGCGAAGATAACAGACTTTGGGCTGTCTGACCTGATATTACAACAAAAAAGTCATTCAAACATTAAAGGAACCCTTCCATATATTGACCCCAAATGCTTATCTGACCCTTCTACTAAGCGTGATGAAAAGTCAGATATATTTAGCTTGGGAGTAGTATTATGGGAAATCTCTGGTGGAAAGAGACCATGTGATGGACTCCAAGATTATACTGGCATCATAACTTATAGACTAAATGGTAAGCGAGATGCTCCAGTCTCAGGAACTCCAGAAGGATATATCATGTTATATTCAGAATGTTGGGATGATGATGCAGAGAAAAGACCATCATGTGGGCAGATTTCTGGTAGATTAAGCATAATAGGTCAACTAACAATGGTTCCAAATCATTCATTTTCTGATGAGTTGTCAATTAAATTCCAAGAAGAATTATCAAAGGGAAAACGTGAAGACCAGGTTGCTAATGCAATTAAAGACTGGTTAGTACATAATGGATGGTATCAACAGAGTTATCCTCCTGCTAAGAGGCTCAAGGATCACATTGATTGTGGGCAATGTTATTGGTTACTTGGTCTTTTTTATGAATATGAAATAACAGTTGGAAAGGATCTTAGTCAAGCAATCTACTTGTATAAGTTGTCAACAGAAAAAAATTGTGCTTTGGGACAAAATAGTCTTGGCAATTGCTATAACATGGGTATTGGAGTAGTAGTAGAGAAAGATGCTGAAAAGGCAGTTGAATTATATGAAAAAGCAGTTGAGCAAGGAAATGCTGATGCACAAAATAATCTTGGTTATTGCTATAGACATGGAATTGGAGTAGAGAAAGATGCTAAGAAGGCAGTTGAATTATATGAAAAAGCAGCAGAACAAGGAAATGCTGATGCACAAAATAATCTTGGTTATTGCTATGAACATGGAATTGGAGTAGAGAAAGATACTAAGAAGGCAGTTGAACTATATGAAAAAGCAGCTGGACAAGAAAATGCTTTTGCACAAAGTAATCTTGGTTACTGCTATAAACATGGAATTGGAGTAGAGAAAGACATTAAGAAGGCAGTTGAACTATATGAAAAAGCAGTTAAACAAGGAAATGCTGATGCCCAGAATAATCTTGGTTATTGCTATAAACATGGAATTGGAGTAGAGAAGAATGCTAAAAAAGCAATTGAATTATATGAAAAAGCTGTTGGGCAAGGACATGCTTCTGCACAAAAAAATCTTGGTAAATGCTATGAAAAGGGCATTGGAGTAGAGAAAGATGCTAAAAAAGCAGTTGAATTATATAAAAAAGCAGTTAAACAAGGACATGCATCTGCACAAAAATATCTTGGCCATTGCTATCAGTGTGGAATCGGAGTAGAGCAAGACTTTGAAAAAGCAGTTGAATTATATGAAAAAGCAGCAGAACAAGGAGACACTGATGCACAGAGTTATCTTAAAAATTATAATAATAATAACAATAATAATAATGGGAAAAAAAGTATAGGTAAAAAGATTAAAAGTTGGTTCACACAGTAGTCAGAAGTCACAAATCATTTTTTATATTGGTATCATAGTTATTGTATGAACTGACATTTTCATATGTTTGAAATCTTTGTCTTGCCATTTAAAATATGTTATCATAAATGATTGATGGGAGACCAGGAGAAAAAAACCTAATTGTTAATGTGAGTTGTGATATGATAATTATGTGATTGTATTGTTACTATTACCAATAGTATTATAAGCTTTTGCTCCTCAGCAAAATCTTCATCACTAATTTCTTAGTAAATGAAAAGTGTTGTTTAATAGTATGTAATAGTAAGCTCCTGTTATTATAATTAAGAATTTGTTCAGAAAATAAAAATTATTATTACAGTAACATGCAGAGGTATGCCATTGCTTTTATGTGTAATACTACTGTAATTCAAGACAGAGATAATCAAGTGCATTGAAACTTTTCTGCATAACAATATAGTGACTATCTTACCAGTATCAGAGTTTTGTTTAATGAGCCACAAATACAAAAAAATACTGTATAATGTCTTGGCTACTTTACTAGAACTTTTATTTTAGTGGAAAACTTTGACACAACAATTGTATGACATTTGTAATACATAGTGGGGGTTAAGAAATCTGTGTATGTGGACACTATCAGCCTAGTCAGTAATTAGAAAATATATTACATAATTTTCGTTTAATCACACATTGCTGCCTTTTATTTTTGCAAGAGCACACTCAAAGTTTTTCTCGAATCTTATTGGATTAATTGTACAACTTTAAAAAAGCACCCAGCCATTAATAAATTGCTCACTATTTATTGCATAATCTACACAGTATCTACTCAAACTCCAAGAATATCTAAATCAAGAAAATTACTTATTATTATGAAATTTATCAAAAGTAAGAGAAAAGTTATAATAATAACTAATAAATGAGCATTAATATTAACATTAACATCACATATGGGGCATGTACATGCTGCAACAAAACCAGACAAAGTGAACATTTCATAAATGAGGGGCTGATTATGATGTGACTGTAAAATTGACCAGTGTGACTGATGATGTTTGAAGTAAGAATGGTGCTTATGGACTTGTTAATTTAATGCTCCCAATATTATACCACAATGTGATGAATATAAACAGTAATGTGATTAATACAAGATTACCTCTATATATAAAAATATTAATATAAAACTAGTTTATATCAAATCCACTATGGAACCAAAAAATTACAGCACTATTAGAAGTATTTTAAAAAGGGAACAAGGAGAAAAAATTGCTCAGTATATTTTTAAAATTAATGACACCAAAATTCTTGAGGAATATCTAGATAAAGAAAAAATGACTTATGAAACTTACAGGAAGAACGGAAAATAATAAACCATAAACGAGCATTAACACCAGCCCATGATGAACCAAGAAAGAAACGAAAACGAGAAGAAATGTAAAGCAAGTAACTGTCTTTTTTATTATCATTGATAAGGACGTCAATTCAGGACGAATTTGTCCATAAGTTCTTTGCCAACGATGAGGGACATATTCATCCGACGTTTATTCTTACCAGCAAGCCATTATCGTATTAGAAACAATAAAGTATGAAAAGTAATAAAAAGAAAACACTAAATAAAATTATTGGGAGGACAGCCAATCCAAACTTTAGGCGACTATGATGCGTTTGTATCAAAGATTGTTTGATCGACGAATTAACTGTAACGGTAACGCATTTTTAATGTTGCACGCAATCTGATCGGCACCTGATGAGCTTATAAAATAACACGACTCGCACTTATATTTCGTCTTAGAAAATCAAATTATAAAATCTCTCCAACGTCAATATTGCAAACAATTTAACCCATAAAAAGCAAACAATAAGTCATACAAAAATGGTTGATTTCACTATGGAATTTATATTTGTGTTGATCGGACTTGTCTTCTGTCCTTTGCTCACGGCTAAACAACCCTATGTTATAATTCAAATGCTTAAAGCAACAATTCACACAATCAAATTAAAATCCCAAACCAGACAACCGTCTGTGAGTATTTGTTAAATGTCAAATACTTATGGAAAGATTTTGAAATCTCTATTAAAAGGCCTGAGCTGGACTCAGTTTTATTTAACAAAGTGTTATAAAATTCCACAAATCGCGCGAAAGAAAAAGCATCATTGCTTTTATTCTAAAAGGCCGTCACCAACCAAAGTTCTCGAGAAAAACAATCAAAGCGCTTAAAAATTGGGTAGCTAAAGAAAAGGAGAAGGAAAATACAGACATTAATAGCATTTACAGTGTGTGACGAAAAAAGTTGCCGTTTTTATCATAACTTCAAGCCTGCATATCTCCACCAATTTTAGCACAAAACGCGTCATGTAAAAAGCAAAACAAAGCTCATGTTTATGGTTTATTTTGCGTTCTATAATATCTGTGTTTTTGTTTGTGTCTTTTGGAAATATACTCTTTAAGATGTCTTCTCTTACGCAAAATGACAAGAAAATAGGCTTATTACATTTTTGGAAGCAAGGCATACGTTCTGTTCCAGAATTAAGTAGATTGACAGGCCTTCCCATACGTACAACTCGTTACAACGTCAATAAGGAGACTCAAGAAACGTTCAGGAACTTAGATGCCAAAGACCTCACTCTCTGGGCTGTATCTGTACCAATAGGGGATGGAACCGTGCAGATTGACTTAGCCGAAGTTGAGAAACGCAGGTTACTACCATCCCGGAAGATAAGCAGGCAGGGTATTCACCGAAGTGACTGATGATTGTGTACACATCTTTATAGAGCCACCAACAGGTATTTGTTTGATATTATGCCAACGTTTATCATTTTGCTAACTTTATCTCAATTACCATCTGTCTTTCATTTTCCACTGTCAGACGTTCCGGGTATGAATATATACTATATGACTGAGTTACCTATCTTGATCTTTTCTGACTCATATTCTTCGAATCTTCACAAGCTCCTACTATTATTGAACGCCGAAACCTGAATACACGTAAAATTCAAGATGCGGATCCTCCGTCAAGTGCTTCCCAGCCAAAGAAACTTCGTAAGATACAGGCGGGTGAGCTGCTTCTATGTGCTCGTCCTGCTGATTGTGTCGGCCCCCCAGTACATATGTACAATGAGGTTTTTTCCAAGTTCTTATTTGACTACAATGACGAGGATCTTGAATCGTCTGCTAGACTCTGTCGATGGACTATAAAATTTATCCGTTCCATGACAGACATCTATGGTGATGAAGACGGGAGAGAAACTGCTTTTCAGGATTTTATTGGCAAACTTACGAACGAATCACTTACAAAACAGTCCACAACTGACGGATTTGGTAACGATGGTATGATAGAATGCCGAACGGCAATTGGTGAGGCGCTTATTGTCAACATTGAGATAAAAGATGAAGTGGGTACAGGAAATTGCGATCCTTACATACAGGGAATTTTTTCATATTCTAAATATTGGGCACGTGATAAGGTAACTTTCTATGCAGTTGATACTTCTATGGCCCTATAGAGCTATTGTACTGATTATTAATACTAAAATAACTCTAGTATGACAACTTTCGTGGTCGAAGCAACTGCCCATCATTTATCATTGCCATGGCTGGGCCGTGGATCTGCATTGCAGGTGCCGTATACCTTAAGAAACCTGTAATTGCTCCTCTTACTGATTATATATCTTTAATGGAAACTTACGATACCAATCATAAGCATCGGATTGCACGACTCTTCCAGGCCTTCAGCAATGGCATTAACAATTTAAAGGCATTTTATCAACAGAATATACCAGCTGCATCAAGTAATCTCGAGTTTTTGTATCCATTTCCTTGTCAATATGTCAATGGACAATCAACTGTAAGATTTAGCTATATAGAACCTTTAAAACTAGACAGTGTGAAACACTGGAAGGCACGCAATACTGAGGGGAAGGATATTGTCATCAAGTTCACCCAGCGTTATAACGAGGCGCTATGTGCTATGAAGAATATGGCACCTCAACTGTTATACGTCGGTAAGGAGGTGTATGGATGGTGTATGGTGGTAATGGAGTATGTTGATGGGGTAACGCTTAGTCAAGCAAATCTCACCCGGGATGTTTATCTGGAAGTCCTTGAAAAAGTCGAAGAAACCATAAAGATACTTCATGAAAACAACATCGTCTTCGGTGATCTACGCCCTCCAAATATAATGGTTCAGCAAAACGGCTTACGTTAAATTGATAGATTTTGATTGGGCGGGGCGTGATCAGGTAGATTGTTATCCTTCTTTTATGAATCATGTGCACATAAAGTGGCCCGAAGGAGCCAGTGATGGAAAGATACTACAGAGAAAGCATGACCTCGCTATGTTGAAATATTTGAAAGATAATGCGGATCAGCTCAACACGTAATAGAGCAATTGATGTGCCCATTTATCTAGTATTAGTACATTGCTTAATTAGTAAAAAAGAGAATCTTAGTGTAAAGAACACAATAAAAATATATATTAGGATTATCCATATATGATAGTTACGTTGCAACAGAAGGTAAAGCTAATTATTGTAGTGTTGACGCTACCGCTCATTACAGTTACGATTGGGCACAAAACGTTCACGTACCCCATTCCGATCAACAGGTAAGATTTATTATCTCAGCCCACGTAAAGTGCATTTATTTGGTATTCAAGATGAGGCAGTACGCGAACAAATTAATTACGTTCTCGATGAAGACGAAATAATAGGTAAAGGTCCTAATAGTTGCGTTAATGCTTTTTTTTACATACTAATACATAACAATACGAAAGACAAGCATGGAATATATTTTTGATTTTTATGGTAGTGTTATAATACGATAAAGTTTTGTGTCAACTGTGTATCACTAGTTGATGGTATAAGTTGATGGTATAAGTTGATGTATTTGAAGACGCTACTCTTACTCTGTTATGATAATTGTTTATTTGTCTTTGTCAAATGGTACACTTTTTACACATTTAACAATATGGAAAAAATAAATATGGTGTATTTGGATTTTACGGAGAGAAAATTAACTATACTTTGCTAGTCGATGACATTATTTGACAAGTAAGACGTATTGATCGAGTGTACGTTGAATTTTACATAATTATAATATGCTGTATTAATTGTGGTGTTATTGCTAATGTGGGATGGTGGAAGATACGTTTGTAAGTTTTGATGAGTTATTCACAATGTCAATGTTTGTAGGCATAGTTGGTCGGAACGTACGTCAATGTATGGGAGAAAGCCCGTTCTGGTAAACTAATCATATATGCAAAGTTTTCAATTTATGTAGATCGAGAGATAGAACTGAATTTGAAATTTGCGTAATATAGTTTAATCGTTTATGTTGAACAATGAAATTATTATGTAATGTGTGTTAGTAGGAAACCTGATGACAACTTTGACGAAACCAACAAGGAAAAAATGCCACCAAGCTGATGTTTTACACTGAGAGAGCGCTGTGGAATTGACAAAATAAAAAAACCCAACTTCATATAAACTGAAATCGTAATGACAGTTGCGTTCAGTACATTATGAATAATACTGTGGCGCAAGTTATTTTTTGTAAATAACCACCCATGATGTCGGGTGGGCTCCTTATGCATAACAGTATGCATAAAGAGATCGGATATGCATGACAATCTATAAAACGTCATATAAATTCTTATAAGGCCGAACAATGGTAAAATTTACCTGCCGGTTTGCACACCCTGAATACGTACACAGTCAGCCTCGATAAGCAGGAGCTGGGCTTTTGATGGCCGGCTTTCGGAACTACCGTATGGAGACTCACGTAATGAAAGTAATATTAAACAATTGCGAGTTGTGATCAATTATATACAAAAGTCACGTGTTCTGGCTTATCAAGGTTCATACCCGGCAGCCAGCTGACTGTGTAGTACAGCTCGTATTTTTGGGTCCCAAAGTTTGAGCCTGTAATACGTAGCCATGCAGGTAATTCTTGCACGCCCTAAATATTTTTGCCTACCCAGTTGTTAATTGATCGTTCCATTGACATTAACCTTCTTTCTCTAACCAGTATCTCGATACTAGCAAACTGTCAAACTATAGTGATACTTAAGTTTTGTTCCCATTTTTGACTCGAATAAAGTATGTGCTTAAAATTTAAGTGTTTGATTAAATGGCCTGATATCAAAAGATATCGATATACGTTTACGAAATACTTTCATTATTAATTCAATAGCAATTTACTTGACTGATTTTTGTCTGACTTAACCTGACTTGATTGACATTACAATATGGTCCTGATACTATTATTTGAATCGAATATTACATGATCAGACAAAATTTTTTTAATCATGTGCATGCATTTAGGGATGTACATTTAAGGAGTATGCATTAAGGAGCGTGCATTCAACTGTGGCTTGTAGTTGTGTCTTGTACTTGACATGCCATTCTTATTAAAGTAATTTGATTGACTATGATATTACGTATTTAACCATACAGCTTTTGGATATTGAATTATCTCATAACATAGATGCAATAATGACCGATCCAAGAGTAATTCTTGAATAGAAACAATTAGAACAAATAGCATTAAACTTATCTTAACATCTTACCGCATCTGCTTCTGACAAGACACCTTCATCGAATCGATAATTGGAGAGTTTTGCTTGTTGGAATGGACAGTACCTAATTACGTAATCATTCAAAATAAATCGGATGTGCATAACAATGTTTAAAACCGTCGTACAAAATTCTTATAAAGTTTACCGGAAAAAAATAATTGAGAAAACTGATACTGTACACGCAAATGACGAAAAGGAATGCATCATTGACAAATCAAGTTAACAATAATAAAGATAGAGTTTTCAAACAGGCGCACGTGTTGAAGCAAATGGTTTCGTATTGCAATCGGGTCGCGCATTTTATTAAGTAAGCATTGTCCGATCAAATACTTTTTACACGTTTCCTTTTCCATTACATTCGCTGACTTGCTAACGCGTGAGTACTGTTTACAATGCCTTCTCCGAGTACCATTTTCCTAATCCAATTTATTTAGAAATATTGTGTGGCAAAGATTTCTATTTTCAGTGGTATAAAGAACGTCTTGTCCAAATCAAATCATCTCTTGAGACACTGGTGATTTTGGCGCCGATGTTAGTGATGAACATCTTAATACAATACTTGAATACTTTGGTGCAAGTCAAAGGTTTGAGCATCGTGTTGCAAACGTGGATCAACAACTATAAAAGAGTACAAGGTGTGATTGAAAAAGTTACTATGGCAAAATACTGGAGCGCTCTAAATGTAATAACAAAATTTGTATGTAGGAAATCTACGTAAACGTTACGTCTGCACACGAAATATTTCTAAGGTGATATTTAATAAGCATCATTAAATAAATTTCAAAGTGCGTATTTCTTAGCAAGAGACAAACTTGTGGCAAAAAATTAATAGTACTCCAGTGTTTGCAGGAGGAAATGGAAAAGCTTGGGATAGCAACCGATTACTACACGTATGTCAGGAACCAAATATAGCAAGCATTGAAGACAGCATATTCGTTTATAACAAATCGTCACTTTTTTTAATTTTACTTAGTACAAATGCAAAAAACACTGGGTACTGCAAATGTTCATTTCTGCCATGTGTATCGTAACCAATTTTCTGCTCTATCACGGAAACTTTCTAGTCTAAACCAGTTTAGTGTAAACGTAGTCCAATTCTATTGCCAAAAATCAGACTGGTCAAAAAGTCGTCAAGTTTGTGAACATATTACCAAATTACAACAATTGTTAAATAAAAGCATATTCGTGTGTGTTGAATATTTGCTTATACGGAGCACAGCATAGCTCTCAAGTATCTTAGTCTCAGTTCGTATTTATCCAAGTTTCCGCAATTATATTGATGTGACCTTTAGGTGGATAAATTAGGGAAGATATGGTGCTGTTCATCATATTGCTATATAATTAGATAAGACTACAAAATTCATATAACATCACATCTGCCTATACCGGACGGGTTGGGCATAGCTCTCTGTATCCGACTGGAACCGGTATAAACAAATAATTTTAACATGAACGAACAGTGCAATTGCGGCCGGTGTAGAGGAATTCCTCTATATACATTACATCGCAGAGTGACCGTACCATTTTGACGACATACAACGTATTGTGCTTTATTATGAGGTTCAACGCAATTGCATCATTCGGTATGCATAAGGCTTAGATAAATGTGTTTTACTTGTTATCGTTACTGTTACTCTTCTATTACGTTATCTCTGTCACGCGGAGATGATGGCTGGCATTGTATTACAGTATTTTAATATCCGACAATTTGTACGACTTACTATAAACTTGATGGATCTTATGCTGATGATAATCAATGACAATCTGTGCGATGATGACTTGATAGAAAACCTTTCACGGCGACAAAATCGTTGACAAGAATACCTCTCATGTATAATGACGTCCACTAACGACGAGGAACCGCTTTCCTTTTTCGCTCAATTTCTAGTTGATCTTTTTGGTAATGGAAGTAGAGTTCCAGGCGATACGCTTGACAATGCAGGTAAGCCAGAGTGACTATGGTTGGCCGAATTGGCCATGGAGTGTTATTTTGTAAAGCCAACGGTCCATTCATATCGCGTTCAAAGCTCATTCATTACAAATTATCTTTTGCATTGTACTGAATTGCGTTCTTGGAACCATAAATAGCCAATGACGTACTGTTAAGCACACAGCTTGTTATTGCGACAGCCATTGGTTTGACTTGCTTCCTCATATTTTGTTGGTTGCGACCGCGTTGGAACACATTATTTGCACCGCGACTTAGGCTACGTGGGTGCGTGTCTTATCGTACAAAGGTGTTAGTTTTAGGATTTTCTGCTTGCATAACCTTAATAACGTTGGTATCATCATAGTTATACTCCGGAACCGCTCCCGTCATCTTTCTTTGGATGGATTAAGCCATTGCTCGACATTCCCGAAAGTGAAATCCTTGACAAAGTCGGATTCGATGCGGCTGTGGTAAGTAATGAAAAAAAAAAAGTGTGCAGTTTATACTTGAGCATTTGCAATCTACATCTTTGCTATGTCTTACCTTTTGCATAAATACAAATAGTTTCTCGGATTCTTCCGACTATCATCCAAACTGTACCTTTTCTGTGGTATAGCTGCTGGATGTATTCGAATTCCAATTTGGATATACATGCATATTTACAGATTTCAACCAAAGGATCCAGGACAGACACCGCAAGAAGGCGGGGGCATTGGTATTCCGTATCCAAATGACCCTGTTCTACTAGAAACCGAGCCATATGTACTCGTCTTATCATACGCTATTCTCACATGGGTCGTGTCGATTGCTGTCTATGTCTTTGTCTACTACAACTACAAATCGTTTTCAGCTGCCCGTCAAAGATATTACTTGAAACAAAGAAACACGGTTGTTGCGAGGACTGTTATGGTCACTTCTATTCCGAAAGAATACCAGAACGATAAAGCGCTCGCCTCATACTATGAATCCCTTGGTATTGGCGAAGTTGAGAGTGCGGTGGTATATAGACACGTTCGTCGATTGAGAAATGCTATTGAGCAGCGTACTAAACGGTTAAGGAAAACGGAAGAAGCCTATGTGAAATGGTTAGGCAACCCTTGCACAGATGAAAACTACGATCCGGAAGCTTTGTTGAAAGAAGTTGAGCATAAGACTTCAACTAATCCTCAAGACGATCCTGAGGCTGGAACGGTCAATCCGAATACAAACTATCTCAAGGAAGAGAGGCCGACTGTCAAAACTGGGTTTTTGGGTCTTTTTGGGGAGAAAGTTGACGCTATTGACTATTATTATGACCAGTTCGAATACTATGATAATTTGGTTAAACAAGGAAGGCGAAGCGCATATGTTCCAACTTCCGTCGGATTCGTTACCTTCGCTAACATGTCCAGTGCGGTAAGTATCGTGCTACATACAGTACGGACAAAAAAGAGAACAACATTTTTGACTTATGTTAATTGGTTCTTTTAATACCAGCAAATTGCCGCTCAAGCACTAATTTATCCAAAACCTTTCTACTGCCATTCCGTGCTTGCTCCCGAGCCTCGCGACATGTAAGTTTTAAGCATCCGATTGTGATCTCGACAACATACATTGATTCATACTAAATGGATTTATCTGTGATATCGTAGATACTGGGATAACCTCAATTTCCGTGCACGAGAGATCGTTGTACGCCAAGTACTAATACAAATCGTTGTTATATTGATCATTTTCTTCTGGGCTGTTCCTTTAACGACTTTGGCTGCACTCTTGGATTTGAACACATTGGAAAAATATTTCCCATGGCTGGCTCATCTAGCTGAAAGGAACCAACTTATCAAAGGTTTTATTCAGGGCACCTTGCCCACGTTGGCGGTCACCATATTCAATTCCATGTTGCCACTTACCATGTTATGTAAGCAATTCGTTAACAAGACTTCTAGTTTTCCCGAGAATTATCGCTGACAACGGTATATCAATTTGATTTTATGCAGATTTAAGCAGACTTCAGGGACTGCAAGCTCGCAGTTACATTGAATTATCCGCTGTTTCAAAGTAAGTTTGAATTCAATGATTACGAGATTGACTAATTTTTATTGCAATAACTCACTGGATACATGTGACATTCTCCCGTAAAGATACTTCTTCTTCTTGTTGGTGAACGTCCTCCTCGTTTTCACTGTTGCTGGAACTGTGTCCATCTCTATCGATGACATTTTGACAGAACCCAGAAAAATAGGTCCAATTCTTGCTAGCACGTTACCAGAGGTAAGGAGGCTGTGTGTCACGAACTTGTTTCTGTTGAGAAAATGAGCGCCCGTAGCGATGGCGCGTTTCCCCCCGATCGAAAATCACTATTCACATATCCCATATCTCTCATATTAGGTCGCACCATTCTTTGTAAACATTGTTATTCTCCAAGGCATCGGAATGTTCGCTGTCGAATTGGCTCAATTTAAAGAAATCTTTCCTGCATGGTTTAAGCGTTTGTTATTGGCAAAAACACCTCGTGATTACGCCGAAGCCAGCACACCTCCTATAATGAAGTTTTATGAAATATACCCTGAGGTTGTGTTTATATTTATCGTTTGTCTTGTATATTCAGCCATATATCCTTCTATTCTGTTCTTTGGTACCATTTACTTTTCGATCGGGTTCTTCTGTTACAAATACTTGCTGCTGTATGGTATGTCATGGTAATCTGGGAGGAGAATAATGACACTTGTTTTCAACCGCTTCTAATGAACGTTTTACTCTCTATTCGCTGATTCTTTATAGTTTACTTCCAACCTTATGAATCGGCTGGACAAGCATGGTCGCTGATATTCCATCGTATCATTATCGGTCTTTACATTTTCCAAATCATGATGATAGGCTTTCTTAGTCTCCGCAATGACTACGTTCTCGCTGGATTACTTGCGCCTCTGTTATTCATAACAGGAATTTACGCAAGTATTGTAACCTATGCATATCACAAATTTACAAATTACATCCCTATTCAGCTTATTCGTAACGAAGAAGCCAAAGATGCCTTGAAAAAAAAGAAGCCGCCCGAAAGTGGTCAGGGTAATGGGAAGGCAACCGTCTCGTCAGAGAATGACCATGATGATGGTTCGGAACAAACGCATTGTCCTAAGGGCATACTTGATGATGATTTATACCATGCGGCTCCTGATCTTTATACCGATTACTCCCAACCACCGATGACATTGGTTCCTGGAATTTTGAACACTGGCATGAGGAGATATGGACCCCCTGCTCTGGTTGGAATACTCCCGTGGTTGTGGCTACCAATAAAAAGATCTCAAGCCGAAGTGGACAGCACTCCTGGATTCTATCGCGCTTTACTGGGTATGAATCGTAAGGGTGATCAACCGATGACATCTGATGAGGAGAACGCCGGTGAAGAAACAAGTGCACGGCATAAATTTTTGAAGAAATGGTATGTCTTTCGCAGTCGTCACGATACCCAACAGGCAGCCAATGAGCGCATTCAGCAAGAGCAAGCAGCTGATGAGAACGATCCTAGTAATCCTCACAAGACCTACTTCCACCATCCTGAGCGTCCTAAACCGAATAGCGAATCAGTCACACTACAGCCCGTGCCAGAAAGTGCTCCGAGCGCTCAAGCAAATGATCAACCATCGACTTCTAGCGCAGCTGTGCCAGCTACAGATGAGAGTAATAGTCAACCGCGGTCCCGTGATGTCGAGTCTTCGTCCAAGTCTAGGCCTTTGAGTGTAATTTTTGAAAATTGGGCCGCAGATAACTTTGGAGATCCGCAAGCCTTGGAGGACAATTTAGACGCTTGAAATTTACATCACGATTTATTTATGTAGTTTCAGAGGGAAGAGTTACATTCTGTACGATGACCATTGTGAATATTTTCACACTCGCATATATTTATACGTTTATTTTATAGTCTTGAGTCAATAACTAAACCAAAGACCTATCAATAAACAAGATTTACATGTCAACAGGTTATATTTGTTAAATCGAATTCCAATATAACATTGCATGTTAATTGTTTCGGGTGAGAATCATTAATAGCAATTGAAGAAGTTTTTGCCGCATGCCTTTTATTGATAATAATAACCTATTACTATAACAACGTAAGACTAACAAAATAAAGCTCAAGTTCTGATCTTTGATTTAAAAAAAGATAATTGTTGAGATCTGTTCAAACTTCGTTCATCGAAACCATACTAATACTGGGTTGAATTTCACGTAAACAATTACAATACTGATACCACATACCTGGTAAATGATATAAAGCACTGACAGCTGATGTGATAGAGACTGCTTTGGAGGATAGCCCTTGATTCAGAAGGCCCTTACAAAGCAAGTTTGAAACAACATAGTAAAGAGGCTTACATATATATATATAAACAAGTTAAGCTTTCTTTGTCAAAGATACAAAGGGAAAGAATAACTGTCCACAGTAAGTGCTACACCTGACAACATTACACCTCATTACACATCTGAATATAAAAGCTCTTTAGCATTTTTTCACGGAAGATATCATAATTACTTCCGGGGAAAAAATTATTAGTTTAGGGGGAGTTATCGGAAGCCAAGCAAGAATAAGTCAAGTTATTATCTCATCTATTCTAAGAGCTAGATTTGTGCATGTCACTTTGTTTTATCAGTGTCTGGAGGTATTGAAATGCTTGGCTTTAAATAATTATAATAAATAATGACTAACCCTTTATAGCGATAGGTGAATGATTTAATTTGTCATGTTTTGTCAACAAGTCACAACCTGTTTCTTTTCAAGAGTAGAGCAATTGTAAATTAAAATGTCTTCACACAATAAGTGCTTATTATTATTATTATTATAGTAATAGTTAAAAGTATAATAATAAGTATTACGTAAGTGTACAAAAATAATACAGTCACTCTTGATATAATAATAACAATAATGATCCCTCGATAAGATGACGTTAGCTTAAGATGATGTTTTTTTCTGGAACCGAGTCAGTTGTAATAAAATTGGTGATGTTAATTATAAACTCGCGATATAACCGTATAATGACTTTTTGAGAACCCAAAGAATAATAAAAAGATCTCGATTTGACGTGTTGCGTAGATCATCACTATAATAGGTAATTATTTATCGAGTGTACCATTATTATTATATTATTAAACCAATTAAATTAAATCGAGATTCCGATTTTTTGAATTCTCTTTGACTCGACAATTAGGAAAACGATGAACGATTTCAGAATTAGTAAAAACCTGCAGTAAAGCGAGTTACTCTTACTGGTGTTCAAGAAAGAGATTTATGTCTAAAAAAAAAGAGTTCAACTTAATTTGACTCACATAATAATAATAATAATAAAGAAACAAGACACTTTATATTTAGACTCCTTTCTAAAAAGGAACAATCAAAATAGCGTCGCTGCAATTACTGTTGTAAGCTACCCCTCAACGCTGTTGCGGATTATACTTTACGTAATGATTTACCGATCATTTTAATAATGTTGACAAGAGTTGATGATCCTATCATGCACCCCTCACTTATCACTATGATATATGATAAGGGTGGTAGGTGCTTATTTATATTCACATGATACTGATACACATATATTACTACTACATACATATGGGACATATTCAGTGTTGTTCTGTCATGTCAAAGAGGCAATGATGTTTGGCACAGCTTATAGGTACTTGGGAGGTAGACAGTGAGATATATTGTGGTAATGAATAAGAAAAGTAGTCTGCATGTTCTTGGTGTCCATAAGTCACACTTCCTCTATGATCAAAACACTATACTAATATTACATTGTGGAATAATTGCATTCGAAATGCCAAACAAATCATACACAAACCGGTATTGCGCTCAGTACTGTTTATGATAATAAAAACTGAAGAAAACGGGGACAAATCAGCACGCAAAAGCTTACTTGCCAAGAAAATGTTCCGGAAATGCTGGAATGGCAATTATTATATCAAAAGTGGGTTGCTAGCACAAGATTGGTTTGCATGGTGGCTTCAGGAAAAGCAGATAATGCAGTTCAGCTCACCCATGCATTAAAGGAGATCACCAATGTAACACACAGCACCCAGACAGTACATCATGCTTTGAAAGAAACTGGAATGAAGGCTGCAACAAAGAAAAAGAAGCCAAGACTTATGCCATGACATATCCACCAGTGTCTTGAGTTTGCCACACCAAATACCAACACTGGACCACAGAGGATTGGAAACGTGTTGTTTGGTCAGATGAGACCAAAATTAATCATTTGGGGTCTGATGGACGTGAGTGGGTGTGGAAAAGGCCTGGTGGAATAATGACAGAGCAGCATGTTAAGGGGACAGTTAAATTTGGGGCTGTATGACAGCCCAAGGGGTTGGTTATGCATGTTGGATTGAGGGGCACATGGATGCAGAGCTTTATACTCATATTCTTGAAGATAAATTTCTTCAGAGCCTTGAGTATTATGGGATGGAAGTGGGTAACATTATCTTTCAACAAGATAATGATCCCAAACAT